AGACTTCAAGATATTACTAACAGCATATTTTCCAGTTAACAAGATGCAGTGGCATATAAGATACACCTCAAAAAATATTAAACTGTGCCTTTGTGACACTCTACCACCTTCAACTTTCCCTTTTGGACCCTGAGGGACAATCTTCCAAGTGCTGCAGACCACCTAGAGGGAAGGACAGCGAGTTACTACAGCTTTCCCTTCCTTCCACCAGCCACCTTCTCAGATGACAACGTGGGAATGAAGCATGCCTCAGCACATGCTCAGGTTTCCCACCATAGGGAAGCAGGCACTGTCACATGTCCCTTCTTTTCACTGTTTCCTACCTGGATCTGAAGACTCTCACCAACATTTCTGGGTTGGTCTTCAAGATATCAGTATCTAATTTTAATTACCCAGCATTCTGACTTCCATAGTTTTGGTGTGTACCTACCAACGTTTCCTTTAAGTTCCTTTTAAGAACACTTTTTTGGTGATGAGTGGTGAGTAGGAATCTCTATTTATAAACTAAAAAATACGGTATTCATAAATGAAAATGGCACTCTCTCACAGGATGGTGTATTCCAGAAAGTAGAGTGAAGAGATACATGAACCAGAAATATCATAAACGCTATAGGTGGCACAAAGCCATGCAAGCCGTTCTTTGAAACAACCTATTTGGCATTTATGGTCTGCTAAATGAAGTCGGCTCCATCAGGCTGCCTTGTCTGCCACGTAATTTTGGACAACTTATTTCAAGCGCCAGTACAATCTAAGGATATTGGCTTCCTGTCCAGTCCAATATCTAAACTGAGAAGGAATAAGAACTTGGTTACAGTCATCCTTCCCCCTATTAAGTGGATTGAATGGCCCACAGCTCCTTTTGATACTACCATAATTATAACAACTTTCTTAGTCAACCATGCATATAGCCACTCAGGACTGCTTTTTAAAGGTGGTGGCTGGTACAGTTATTTCTTCTGGCAGAAAAAGCTGAAACATGCCGTACACTAAATGATAAAGAAAAAACTTCAGGTGGCCTTAAGATGCGAGTCTGATCAGGTATTAATATATGGATACAAACACCACCCCCCCAAATAGTCTGGCAAGTATTAACAAAGAGGATTTCCCCTCTTCATACCAACTCTCATGTTCTTATGCAAATTAGTTGGGTAGTTGTCTCTGCAGTCCTGATCCCTCTGGTAAAATGAAAATCATGACTGAAGACACTGATGACCTGTACTTTTCCCATATATCACACAAACTGATGGAAAGTTAAGCATTAGCTATTTGCAGCCTCCTGCACAAAGGAGACATGCCCCTTACCAGAGCAGTTGGATCTGGCTACATATGTCTAATTAATGTCCCCAACCAATTTACATTTAAAGCATGTTTAATGTCTTAATGGAGCAATAAATTGTACTGGGGGATGGGGAGAGGAATGACAGCCCCTGCCAGCATCTCTCCAGCTCCCCTTCCTGATGAGTGCTGGCACAACAAGTTCCTAGGCCATTTTTTACCCCTCTGGGTAGCTTGCCCTGTGAACACGAAGCAGGTCACATGGAGCAAGTTTCCATTGAGCAATATTACCTATTGCTTGATGGAAATTATGTCTGCCAGAGGCCTAAGCAATACCATCAAAGTGGAGTAGTGCTGTAAAGGGGATAGAGAAGACATGGTGGCACGACCTTCACTGAAATTGTCTTAACTGTCTATGGATTATGGGGAAGAACTGGGAACAGAAATTACAGCTGATTCTGAAGAGCAATGGAACAATCTGAAGAAAAATGATGACTACTTTCCAATTCCCCTCTTTTGCATGTATAATGCCATGAGAGAGAATGAAGAGGTCCATGATCATTACACTGAGAAAATGCATTTTAGACAGGTTTTTCAAGTGCCCTAAATATTACAATTCCATAATTTTTACAATAAATAGGCTAATTTAATCAAATGGAACAATTCTTGCACTTACTATATCACCTACTAGTACTCAGTCTGGTGATTATTTCAGAACAATACATTACACTATTTAGCTCTAATATTGCAAAATGTAATCTTGAACTGATGTCTCTAGCAACACAGGAACTGCCAATCTGAATTACATCCATCTAGTTCAGTACCCTGTCCAATGACCACCAGCACGTACTTTAAAAGATGACAAAGAACCCCACAGTTGGCAGATGTAGGATACTCTGGTGCTGCATCCAGCTCTCTAGTAATTTAAGAGAGACTGGCTTAAATCCTGAAGCACGCGACTTAATAGTTTTTCAAACATATTTCCCATCATTAATTATAAGCCTGGATATTTATATGGACACTAAGAATATTCAATTATTTTTGGAATATTGTTAATGCCTTGGCTTCAATTATCTTTTGCAGCAACAAAGTTCAACAGCATAAATATATATTACATGAATTTCCTTCTTGATTTGAATTTGTCATCCTTTAATTTGTTGGTTGTCCTTTTATATTTGTGCTATGGCAAAGGAGAATTTCCAATCTACCTTTTCTATGTAATTTGTTACTCTACATATTATTCTTATGGCCTCTATTATAAGTTTCCTTTCTAATGCAGGTAGTTCTCTCACATGAGAATATTTCTACTCCTTTGATCATTCTGTTTTTGAAGCCTACCTAGGTTAGCCATTTGTTTTTTGTGCTGAGTTAACCAGTACAGCACCCACAATTCTAGATGAAGCCATGCCACTGATTCACAGAATATCATTCTAATCATCTTTATATTATTGACAGCTCCATTCATAGTTCATCTAAACATCTTGCTGTTTTTTTCTGAGTGCAGCTGCACACTGAACAGATCATTTCACAGAGTTGCCTATTTTTCCAGGATTTTTTCTTTGTTGATACAATTAATTTAGTAATATGTACAAGTAATTTAAGTTTCCCCCAATCAACATTTCCTTTGCATAAATTCAGTACTGAATTTCATTTGACATATGTGAATTACAAACCAACCTTGTTTGAGTTTCTCTGCAGTTCCTCAGACTCCTCCGGGTCCTGACGTTCCTAAATGACTGTCATCTTTCCTAAATAACTGTCATCTACAAGTTTAGTCACCTTGGCTGTTTACAGATGTTTTTCTAGGTTTAACCTGGACTACAGTTGTCACTATATACGTGTGGATGTTTGTAGTTTGAATTAAAATTGGCTCCAGTCTGAATTTACTAATCCTCATTGAATGAGGATTAAAAATTAATGCAGACTAGGGCAGTCCAAACTAGGCAATTTAAACTGTATTAATTAACATGTATATACAGTGTTGCTTTTAGGAAAAACAGCCCTTAGGAACTCAGGAGATAAGCACTGCAAATATGAATCTCCACAAGGGAAAGTCAGTTGGGTTTTTGCAACAGAGACCATCAGACACAAGGTAACGTCTTTACAACAATCAAACATGCCAACACCACCTCACGGTGACTAAGTATCAGTTCCTAACTAAGCACCCAGCCCTGCACAAGCACACCAACCATGAACGACTCATACCTCCTGGAACCAGAGGGGACACTATGGTGGCAAGCAGGGACCTCTCGCAGCTACATCAGCTGCAAGGGGTGTGGGGGGGTGGGCAGCGACTGCCCGCAGAAGCCAGCAGCGGCCACTCGGCTGGGGGGTTGGGGCTGCCATGCGTTGCCTATGACACCAACTACTAGTCTGTGAAGGGAGCAGCCAACCTTGGCCCTTCCTTCCCCCCCGCCAAACACATTGGCTAAGATACTCATTATCAACACTCAGGTGAACTGCACCCATTACAGCTTCTGGAATAGCACTTCAGGTATCTGTCAGGAGGTTTGCAACAATGTAGCAGTGCTTAAACAGGCTTATTATTGCCTCCTAATTACTTCCAACTGCAAATGTCAAGCACATGAGTCCACACAAAGAGGCTGTGAATTGGGTCTGTTAAGGGGCCGATGGTGAATGATTGTCTATTAACCCTTAATTCTACACGAAATTTGATTTGAACTGTGTGATGCAAATCAGTTAACATGGCTCAGAAAAAAATGGTGCAAACAGCTACAAACGGCCCTTGCTACTAACTCTCCCTTTTCATTTATTCCAACTGTAGGGGAACTTGAAAATTCAGGATTTACTGTCAAACAAGAATACCATACTGGAGATTGACTACTGTATTTCAGTTTTGACATAAGAATGCAAGATGCCAAAAGTTTAGAGCTACAGTCTGTATGATGCATCTGTAGCTGACCGAAGCAAAAATAAAATTTTAAAGTGTTCCCATCTGTAAATAGATCCACACTAACAAAATGCAGATTTTATTCCTGCACTGCTGTCAAATCAGAGGTAAAAAGAAGAAAAAAATGTACCTACAATTTATAAGTTAGCAATAATAAAGTTTAGGTACGAATCCAGCCATGTCACTGAGTATCCCCTAGTAAGCAGTTGTACATATAAAAGAAACTAGCAATATTCTTGAAATATTCTGAATAGCATATACACAATGACTACCATTTCTGTTCTTTCACTGAGAGAAAGAGAAAAATAAAATTATTTTAAGAGAAATTAAAAATCAAATATACTCTGGCAAAATTAACACTGAAATGGCATCATGGCTATTGCTGTACAGTGAGTTCCAGGTCTAAGCATGGTAAGTACAGATGGTTTTTCAAGCTGCTAGCCCTACAAACTCGAACAGAAGTTTGAAAGTGAAATTGTGTTCTTTCTAGTTTTTATTTCACTAGGAATTAAGATTTGGCATTTAAAGCTTAGTTAGCAACGTTATTGATGATATCCTGTCATCAGTTATCTAGTTAAGCCTTTCAATAACTGTTCTGAATACTGACAGAAATAAACAGAGAGTCATTAAAAGTGAGAAGATAAGGCTATCGGTACTCAAAGGAACCTGACCTGATGAATAAACTTCTGCCATTTTTAGTTCAAGATGTTACAGTATGTAGTTCATGATGACCATATGTACTTGATACAATTCATTTTTTAATCTGTTCAGTTTTTATTCATTTCCAAGGAAGTCAACTACTGTATTTCAGTACCTCCATGGCTTGTGCTAAGCGCTCTTCCAATGCCATGTATGTGAGAAACTGAGGATCCACGTAAGAAATGGCTTGAGCAACTGCTAGGCCATCACCAAATTCATCAAGTAGTCTGAAAACACACAAAAATATATAATATTAATAAATAAAGCTTCTATTTTAAATACTGTTTTAACAATTTAAGACTTAAGTCTATACTACAAACATGCTCAAAGACCTTTTAAGGCAGCAGAACACTGCACTTTGCTAGTGACAAAACATTGCCCTGCCACCTATTGAAGGCACATGAAGCACTCCTGCATCTTCAGGAAGTTGGCACACTTCCCAGGTGTACTTTGCAACTTGACAGAACAAAAACTACTGTAATGAAGCATTGGAAGTATCAGAAGCACATAGGTAGAAATGTACTGTGGTGCCTTGGTGTTGACAGCTACTTAGCACAGACAGCAATTTGGATTGTAAAGTTTGATGAAATATGTCAAATAAAAGATGTGGCTCAATTCTCTCTTTATCAGTATTCGAACTTAATCCAAAGGTAATCAGCAGTCTTAAACTGTACAAGGGGAAGCAAAAATTTAGGACCAAAATTCTAAAAAGGCACATGAAAAGCTGCAACTCCTTTGGCATATACTAAGGAGGCAAAACTTGAATATAAACTTGGTAATGCATATGTGAACTAGATAACACAAGATCATCAATGAGGCACACAAAGATGGTATGTTTGACATGTTACCATTCATGACTGCATACAGATGACTAAACAATCTGCATGTATATTTATATAAAACAATAAAAGTCTTTTTAAAGTTATGCACTGTCAAAGGAAAAAGGGTATACTGGACAACCTTCTAAACTGGTTGTAGCAGTCTTGCTTTATGGAAGACAAAACATATTAATTTCAGCTCTACACTTCTGTAAAATCAAAAATACTTTAGTGATAAAATGTTGACATTGTGAGATGCAGTTATTATTATACTGCTCGTGTACCCAATGTGCTTCTTGTGTTTTTATCATCCCTAAAAAGATGAGTACAAATCACAATTTTTTTTTTTTTAATTTTTTTTTTTTAAAATCGACCAGGTCCTGCTAAGTTGACAATACTGGAATTTGCACATCTTATTTATTATTCAAGGAGACAGTAAGAAAAAAATATCCCAGACAAAAATAAAATAATGCTATATTTACTCAAATATGACTGATAGCCTTCACAGCCAATCAGTGGTGAGGGGAGAAGACACCAAGCCCCTTTGGCCAGAGGCACTGGCAGAGGCCTGCCAAACTCGGCCCGTGAAAATGACTGCCAGCCTGGGGTTCTGCCCATAAAAGTGGCTGGCCAGCGCCTCGAAATCAGTAGACTGCCACTTATGGAGACTATATGCAAGTTACTACAGGTATGCTTATTTCAAGATCAGTGTTTTCAAACTTGCCCCTCACTTGTGTGTTTAGACATAGCAGGGTCTGACAGTAAGGAGGGGACGAAAGTTGCTGCAGGGGGAAGGTGGAGGGCAAGGAGGCTACCTGATCCCTCACACCCAGACTTCTTTTCCCTGCTGTAGCAGTGGGAAGGGGACAAATTCAAGGCAAACCTCCAATAGTTAGCTTCTATACCTGGAAAATTATAACAAATTTATAATTTTCCGTATATAAAATCCAATTATTGGGAGGGTCATCTTATATTCTGAGTCAGCTTATATTTGAGTAAATAAGGTAATACTCTCCCCACCCCCTTTTTTTAAGAATATGAATTCATGTCCAGCCTAGCCCTGAAAAAATCTGATACCAGCACAGTAGCTTAAAAAGTGAAAAAAAAAAAATAAAGCAACTAAATGAAGAAAAATGTTTATGGCAGGCTGTTTAAACATGTTCTTATTAATATTTTTTAATTTAAATGTTAAACTAATCTTCAAAAAAAAATCTCTCAACTGAACATGTGCAATATCAAATCTTTAAGTGTGAAGAGCCCACTCAATTGATCCTTTAAAAATTGAAGTCACACACACAGAAAGCCCCTTTTTGCATCAAAAGTAAAAGTTAGCTATTGCAAATTCACAGAATTTAAACCGAGAAGAACCATTAGCTATCATGCAACATGAAGAGAAGTTTTATAGGGAACAGGGCAGATCTCAGCCAGCTCTGAGCAGGGCTAATTAATGCAGGTGAAGGCTCTTTACTAATCTGCTATTCCTGCTTCTAGTATTTGAGTTATCTTGGGTATCTCTACATGGTACTGCATTTGGCCACAAATACTTTCCCTAAATTTCGCTCAGTTATCCAAATTACCTGAGTTCAGCTAAAGTAATATTTTCAGCAGGCATGACATAAATTAGCCCTGTGCCCTCGAAGTGCCCTTCCAATTCTCTTTTCTGTCTGATCTGCTGCTCTGCCTTTTTCTCCCTGCTGTGCGCTCGTTGCCTTCTGTTGCTCTGGTTTTTGCTCCCTGCCCTATCTGCTACTGTGCTACCTTCCCTCTCCCCCAGTCTTCCTTATGATGCATACCAGCTGCCTTTGTCACTTGTGGCATCTGCGCCACAGGTTGGTCACCCCAAGGTAAAATGTAGCTTCCAGGAAAGCAACCAGTCTTGATCTGAAGACATCAAGGGGTAAGAATCCATTCCCTACTAGCTTGCTCCAACAGTTGATCACCCTGAATATTAATATCCTATTTCCAATTTGAATTTGCCTGACTGATATCCAGCCACTGGCTCTTATTATGTTTAATTTAGCAACAAAATCACAAGTTATTAATACCTGTTATTTCCTCCTCACAGGAGGTACCCCTACAATGTAACCAATATTTTGATCTAACTAGTGTAAGCATCAAGTCTTTCCCTGTAAAACATTTCTCCAACTTTTAAACCATTCTTGTGGCTTTCCCTCCCCATCCTCTTCAATCTTTTTCAACATCCTTTATAAAGTGCAGATGGTAGGTAGTTTTCTATCAATCTCACTAATGTTGCATAGAGCAAAAAAATCTCCCCCTAGGCATTTTTTGATATTTCAAAGGAACAGTATGATAAACTAGAAAAGAACCAAATACAAAATCATTTTCTGTCATGTGCATGTGCAGCACTGTAAAGAGAAATACAACAAGGCTTAAAATACTATTTTTCAATTGTAGGGACTTGGACTTGTAACTAAAGTAAGCTTGAATCTTTACCAAGCTCAAATGCATGCAAGTATTCATCATGTTCTTATTCTTGACAATCCAGAGATGAATCCAAAAATGCACCCATAGCTATGGAGGGCAGGTCCACTGAGATTTATTAAATGGAACAATCAGGGATGTATCCTCTGACATTCCTAAACCATAAGGAGTTAATGGCAGAGAGGTTATGACAGGGGGGTCTAGACATGCCCCACTCGCATAAAAATCATGATGTACACATCAGAGGTCTAGCCAGGTACCCAGTGAATCCACTTGTGGCTGATAAACCCAATTCAGGAGCGACACAGCTTGTTACCAGTTTCTCAGATCTGTGTGTTGTCTGAATTGGAGTCCAAGTTTACAGCAGACTTTTTCCTTCTTTCTCACTTTGCTTCCATCCTCTGGATCAAAGCTGCTTCAAGCTGAGTTGCACTCAAGGCCAGATGTTCTCTTGAGACTGGATGGTATTCTGCACGCTCCTCCCACTCACATACTTCCCCCCTAAAGCATCTACTATTAGTCAATATCTGACAGGACACTGGACCCAGTATGGAACTTCTTATGTTCTTACCATTACAGTAATAATTAGGTAGATCATAATGATTTCCAGTTATAGCCTGCTTAACCAGATAATGTCCATCTGTTGGAGAACAGCACATACAGCAAGTTGAGCTTTAACATACAGTTTTATGAGCGTGTTCAATCAGTAATGAATTTGTGACCTCCTAAATACAGGAAGGGAATTAATTATTCTGTCACTTTAAGTAATGAGGTCCCACAGAGAGAACCTATTACATACCTCCACTCCACATCTAAGTCTTCACTCATGCTGGAGTCATCTTCAAGATTATTGTTCCCATCCAACATGAAGAATCCTGGGTGCACAAAATGGCTAACTGGGTCATTTTCCTCATCACTGCTACTTTCAATTTCTTCGTGGTACTGCAGCCAAGGAATCTCTCCTTCTTCCAAAGAGATCTGTTCCCTTTACATAAATATTAGAAGCTTAGTAATTAAAGAAATATATTTACCAAATCATACTTAAGCAATGGAACATATATCTATTAATCTTAGGGGCTGCAAATCCACAGGCCTCAGAAGCAATTTTGCACAGGAATCTGAACCAAGTGATGCTTGCCAACTTCTAAGCCAATGCATCTGAGCATAACCCAAGTCAAGCCCCTATGATATTTGTGCTCATGGAATTCAGTTCACCAAAACCAAACAGAAATTCATTAACTTTATTGCACTATTTGTCATTTTGGTGTAGCCAATCGTAGTCTGCTCTGCCAAGACCTGTAATCTCACTACTATTTGGTATTACATTCCTTGTGCGTAGTGAAGTCACCACATTTACTTAAATCCAAGATGCAGCCACCTCTCCCCTTCCACTTATCCTCCATAGATCTGGCTCTAGCCCCACTCTGGTCTGGGCAGTGGCATATCGACGGGGGAGGGGGCGTGGCTTCTCCAGCCGGCACCCCCAGGTGCCGGCCAGTGGGGGAGGCGCTGGCTGGAGAGGCCGCAGCACCTCCCACATTTTGTGTGTGGCCCACCTGCCAGGTTGTGGCTTTCTTTAGCTGTTCTGGCCGGAAATTCTGGCTGTCCTCCTCCCACTGCCAGTGTGTCATGCTACTAATCCCCCTGCGGAAGTGCCATGGGGTAGGCGGCAGGGACCCGCACCCTGCTTGGATCCTGGGGGGTCACAAATGCAAGTGTTGGCTCCCAGGCACCACAGACCCATGGTATGCTGCTGGATCTGGGGCACAAAGCACATGGTAGCTCTGGCCCCTGACCAGCCACACAGTAGCCCTGCAAGGAGCAAGGGTCAGGCCACTTGACTCCCCTACCCCTTGTCCTCCCATCATTTGCCCTCTCAGCTGATGCTTGCCCTATTGCAGCTATGAGGGCAATTAATTTAAGATGATCCTGCAATAGTCAGATTTTGTACATGGAAAAAGTATAGCACATTTACAAATGTTCCATGTATAGAATCTAATTATTGGGCGGGTCATCTTAAATTTAAAATAATCTTAGAATTGGGTAAATATGATAATTGGATCAGAGGGCATGCTCCCTGAACTGTCCCACTAAGTGGCAGCATTTAGTGCACAAGAAACAAAAGACTGGCTTGTAAACATGAAGTAGAAAAAGCCAACTGAGCTGCCTAGATAACATTACTAAACTGTTCCAGTCCATTTGCTATTGTGTCTACAATGTAAGTAGAGAGGGAAACTTCTTTATTCGTATTTCAGATTTCTCCTGGGAAAGTAAGAGGCAAACACTGTTCTATAACAGTGGTACTCTTGGCCTCGCAGGCCAAATGAATGACATAGTGCCATACCTCCTGTGCCAGGAATGGGCTCTGCACTGTTCTGCACATCAGACAGGATCAGGTTCCAAACAATGGGATCAGGTGCACAGGGCCATCCTATCTGCCCCTCACCAAGTTTTCAGAATCATTGGGAGTCCCATGGGCTAGAAAGCATGATGCCAGGGGCCAGAGCTGGCCTGTGGACAAGGAATTGAGCACCCCTATTCTATAGAATAGGAATCCTAGCAAGAATACTGATGGTTCCAAGGAAAAAAATAATTGTTTTGAAATTTAAAAAAGTAAAAATCAGTATTTTAAAATCACATCCAAATTTTGTACTTTTGTACAGAAACAAAACTATGGAAAAAATGACTCTTCTGGTTGTAAGCCTTTAGATTTTTTTTTTTTTTTTTTTTTTTATACGAAATCTAGCTCCATGCTTCAAACCCAGTCATCATCCAAGATGTGAGGAGTTCAGGTCTGGGTGAAGCATCTTTCTTTTGCTCTGGGGCAGCAGGCTTGGGAGCACTGCCAAACCTCTGGGCCCTTGAGGCAAGTGAAGAAATCTGAACTGCCTTAGGTATACCAGAGCTATTATTATTAGGATGACCAAATGATGTTGAGCTTTGCAAAACACCCTGGGGATTAGGGGAGTCAACAGACAAGCATGAAAAAGCTTATGATTATTATTCAGATAAAGCAGCTCAATCCTGGGATATACCCAGTCCTGGATAACTTCTTAAGGATGAAGTCTTTGTCCCCATCTTTATTTCAAGAGATGAGTCTGCTTACAGCATTGCTTTTGCTTTGGATGCAAGGCACATGTACCAAGAGAGACATATATGAAAGTCTTATAAACCAGTTAAAAAGTGATGCTCTAAGCCAGGGGTGAGCAAGATGTGGCCCACCAGGCCATTCTATCCAGCCCATGGGGCCCCTAAAAAATTTTGAAAATTAATATTTATCTGCCCTGGCTGCCTGTCGTGCCTCGATGGCTTACCAAAGCTCAGCCCTCAATGGCTTACCAAAACTCAGTAAGCAGCCCTCCGCCCAAAATAATTGCCCGCCCCTGCTCTAAGCTTACCTACTGACATAAAACAAAAGGTCTTGGGACAGTCCATCATTATCTGTACTAGTTGTCTAGAAGCCTACTTCCAGAAGGACTCACATTCTCCGCAGACTGCTCTGTACTCCAAACATGCATTCTTACCCCTCATTGGGCCCAGAAATTCTGAGCTCAGAGAACGTGAGAATCCCAAACTAGCAGGGAAGAATCTGTGAGAACAACTCTGAATGGTAAAGAAAGGAAGGAGAACTCACTTATAAACATTTGCCAGGTCCTTCAACCATTTCTGGAAAGGCAGAGCATGAAAGAGAAACATCACTAGCATTTATAAGGAATGCCTGGCCTTTGGGATACACTGACTTTAACTAGTCCTGTGTACATTGGAACTTGTTTCTCTTTCCATAGACTGGAGGTACTAAATCCAGGCCTAACAGGAGCAAGGGTAAGAAAGGAGGTAAACAAAACCAACAACTCTCCTCAGCATCTATAGTACTTCCAAAGAGATTACACTATGGCAAGAAAAATCGCAGCAGCCACATCTGCAATAAAAAGAAGGTTATGCTTACTATTACGTGTTTGCCTTTCTGCTTCCATTTTTGCAGCATTCTGGCACACTTACCAGTGCTTAGGGAAGTGTTTGGAAAGGAGATGGGATCTCCTGCTAATTGCTGGAGGGAATTGCTTCCTCTTTCCTCTCTGCTTATTATCTTTAAGGGAGGGGCTGCCATTGCCTACTCCCTCCCTAGGGGTACAGGGTTTAGAATACATGTAACTCTACTTCTTTCCCCTTCTTTCCAGCCCTGCACACAGAGTTGAGAGCAGTAGGGCTATAGACTTCCCCTGCTAGTGGAAATAACTAATTTTTTTCCTAAGTTAAAGGAGGCCTTCAATCCCATGCTTTGTTTGTCTTTCAAGCGGCAGCCCATGATTACCCTGACTTTTCTGTGCTTAGGATCAGGGCATAAACAAAGGTAGTTGTCCTTAAAAAACTACTATAAATATGAAACTGTGAGTTTTACTTCTGCTGCTCTGCAAGAAACATGACTTCTTGATAATGTAGTGCTCAGAATAGAATCACATGACTTAAGTCTCAAAAAACTGAAGCCACAAGCAATTCCTTTTTCAACTGTTTTTATGGCGTAGGTGGAGAAAACAAGCCATTAGCTATATTTTTCTTCCAATTAGAAAAAGTCCAAATGCTTCATGAAGATGAATCATACAAATCTCAGCAGTTGTTTGTAACAGATCATTACCATGGCTCTGATACTTCATCTGGTGTGAAAAAGATGTATTGAATAGACCAACTCTAATAAGACAATGGGTCTTTTGTAGTTGTATTTAACACTCACAACTGAACAACAGGATAAATTTAGACACTGATGTGATGTAAAGCAATTTCAGATGGCAAGTTTACTAACTAGAGTTCTTGCACTTTGCTGGCTGCAAGCCATTTCCTGTAGTACAAAGAACTCTAATTTTTTCAGGAAAGAAAGCTAGTCTAAAAGACATTAAGTATGTTCAAATAATTCTTCTATTTCATGTAGCAAACAGAGAAAATACTATACCCGGAGGAATACAAGGTTATACTTCAATAAGGTTTGTTGATGCTACAAACCACAAGAGTGAAATCTGAGTGGCTAGAATGATAGTAAAAAAAGAAAAGAAAGAAAAGAAAAAGAAAAGAAAAAGAACGAAATCCATAGAGAGGAACCTACATAGCCTTTTATTCAATTAGATAACTAAATGTACAGTCCAGAAGACTGTCCCTGGTAAAATTACTTTTTTTAAAATCCATTTCCTTTTGCATTACATAGTCAATGACCTCTCAAGTGCTGTGTTAAATACTTATTGATCTTCCCACCATGACATACAGTGCAACTCAATGAAATGCCCGTGCCATAGTAGGTCTCAAAGTTTTGACAAAGATGTAGAATGTTAAGTTACAAGGAATACAACAGCAGTTCATATTTTACTGGAGCTTTTTATTAAGGTTTTAAAGGATTTTAGACAAAAACATAAGAATCCTTGTCCCCCTTGCCAATTCCAAATCCCAGACTTCCTTTTCATTCATTACCTTAATTTTCTGGTTAATAGAAAGGCATAAAGAAGTTGGAGAACATTAAAACACTGTATTATAAAAGTTGTTTTATTGTTTCTTAGTTATATTCCACATTTGGTACAATATTATTTCCTTTCTCTGAATGCAGACCAAGTATCTGTTAATTACCAAATCTGTCTTTATCATCTACTCCTAATTTCCAGATTGCCTTACAGTTTGGTTCCTCCTTCTTACGTTTTTGCTACTCTTTCAATTTTTTTGGAAGAAAATTTGATCATGGGTGAATTTATACTAACTACCCATGTAAAGGCAAAAGTTTACAGACAAATTCTTGTGCAACACTGGACAGTCATATAATGGAGCTCCAAAAAAAATAAGTCAGATCATGCTACTTGAAGACTGCTCCACGCACAACAAACTTTTTAGGACTCTCTCTCACCTTTAATAACATATGTTTCACCACTGTGACATATGCAGCTCTAAAAACCAGCTTGAGTACTGCTGAGTTAGAATATTTTTAATTACACTTAGACTGTCAACAGAAAAGCAAACTTATTTATTCATGTTTCAGAATACTGTTATTTTCTTTAAAAGATTCAGATAGTACTACCTATTTCATTGGCAGCCATTGGTCTCAGAAGTCCATGGAGACTGCACCTTTGGTGGGTTACTGGATACCACCACAGCTTCTCGAGTGGCCGAGGAGTCTGATGCATGACAAGTTGCACATAAAAACTAGGTTGAGCTTGTACTAGCATGCTGAGTACTGTTTTGTTTTGCCTGCCTCTGATGCCTCTTCTCTAGTTATGCTTGAGAAGTTATGCTACCTGCAGTAGACAATATTTATTAGCAGAACTACCTGAGCTGTATTGTCAACTGCCCATATACAGGAATTCAAAAATCAGTGCCTAAATACAGACATAAATGACAAGTCAGTGTTATGCTTAGAGTATCAACAGCTTGTCAGGAAAAGAAAATGACCAACCAGAAATTCTGTATATCTTTTAAAGGGAAGATATTTTTTCTATATATGCTGTACTTCTGAAATACATTTATTGCATACTATTAACAGACCTTGCTGTTATGTGACAGACCAAAAGCGTTTGCGTTCTTATAAAAATGACAGGGGTTTACTCTTCATGACAACTTGATTTTTAAACAGAGCCATGGTTATTATTTGATATAAAACTTTTCCTCCTCCATTCATGAAATACCTTAATTAAGCAGACCTTAGCCATTTTTTTCTACTCCCTTACGAAAATACCAAGGATCTTGAGAAGTCAAAGGCTTTACGTTTTCATAACTTAAACTTTATTTTAGACCAAAATCTTCAAGGGTTTGAAGTGGTAATAAAAAACAACACACGCGCAAAGGCCAAATACATACCAATTAATGTTTCACATTTATTTCACACAGCAAGTAATACATCTGATTTCCAAATCATATCACTATGGTTACAGTTGCAAATCCAGGAACAATCTTGTGCCTGGACTGAAATTTGTGTAATGTTTTAAGATGCAATTTTTTCACAAATTTGTGAAAACACATTACATAGGAAATACGGGGGAAAAGCCTAATGAAACAGGCTTGTGCTGAACAGCAGAGAGCACCTGAGAATAGGAAAAACCAGGGAAGGAAGGCATGACTGCTGCTGTTTAATAAAAATGCCTCTAGATAAATTGAGAAACTGACTCACAGGGCACTGTATCTAAATCCTCATAAACACAACATTTCTAAGCTTAGTATTGGGTACAGGTTAATGTGTTCATTGCTATGATCGCAGGAAAAATAGACAATGATAAATTCAGTGATCATTAAAGAAGAGAAGTGAGAGGAATTGTACAAAAGTGTGGAAATAGATTTATACAAGACCGTTTCTAAAAGCTGTAGAAATATGGTAAAGAGAAGGAGAGAAAACAATGAATATGGCCAAAGACTAGATAAATCCTCTCTCGCTATGTTAGGTGAATTTATCCACTCTACCAAATCTTCTCTTTTTCTTTTCTTTTTTGGCTTATATGATTTTAGTAATTCTATAATTGTACTAGAGTACTGATATCTACTACTAGAAGTCAACAGTCACCCAAAGTTCATTTGTATGACTCACCATGATTATTTCCTAGTCTAAATACAGGCCAATACTGCATTGTTTCTAATACAATTGGGAGACGATTGCTAGTAAATGCTGAACTCATTTGAAATAATATTATATATCTACAAACACAATTGGGCATACATCCTCTTAATAACAACTTTCTACCTGGAGAAAAAAAATCATTGCTGAAGAAAAAAAACAACTTTCTGAAATAATAAAAAAAACATACCCTCCTTGGAAACAGAATTCTGGGTTCTCTTCTTCTAAGCCACTACTGTTGCTCTGCACTTCAGGTTCATGTTCTTCTCTGCCTGGAAGAGTCTCCCAGCTCTCATCACTAGAGGACTGGTCTTTTTCTGTAGTAGCGAAGTAGGAGGGCAAAGAGGCAGACCATTCCCCATCACTGCATTCAGAGCTGCGATTAAGACAAGTCAACGTTACACTTAGAGAATCAACAGCTCAGAAGGAAAAGAAAATGACCAGAAATTCATTATTTCCTATTTCTTTTAAAGGGAAGACATTTTTTTCTATATATGCTGTACTTCTGAAATAAATTTATTTGTGTATTATTAACAGATCTTGCTGTTATGTGACAGACCCCAAAAGCTTTTGCTTTCTTATAAAAATAAGAGGAGTTTACTTTTCATGATAACTTGATTTTTAAACAGAGCCATGGTTATTGTTTAATATGACTTTTCCTCCTTCATCTTATGTGACGTCCATGAAATACCTTAGGAAAGCTGACCCCTGCCATTTTTTTCTACTCCCTTAGGAAGATAACGAGGATCTTGAGAGAGGCCAAATGCCTAAGTGAATGGTGAAGGCCTCACCTCTGAATATGCAAGGCTTTATAAACTTGGGCAAAGAAACTGTTGGCAGGGGAAAGGGAATGCCCCACACTCCAAATTTGCTTGATATGCAATTTTGAGGTTCCCACTGAAAATATTTGTGGGAAAAGACAAAGTAAAAGGTAAAAATGAAAGTATTGAAGATTAATTGGTGCATTGGTCCAAAAGACCGAATAGGAAGTCTACTTAAAAACAAGGTGAAGAATTATGAAGTTTAGCCTTTAATCATTAGACCAAACAGTAAGGTACAGGAAAATGTCTGGCTGGATGCCAATCTTATGACCTAAGCTGCAACATAACAGGAGTATTAACTGATTATTTAGAACTAGGGTACAGAACTTGTCAGACAGCACTCTAAGATATAGCTCTTAGATCTTTTGTTAACAAGAAGAAAGAACATATCAAAGCAAAAATAATTGTGTATGTTACTCAAAGAGATGCAGGGAATTGTAATGGACAGACAAACAAAAGAATCATTGGTTGGATGAGTAGATAACATATATGACTGTAAATAGTCCTGGGACTGCTACTGTTCAAAAGTTTTAATCTGATAGTCTTTATGAAACCTGTATGTCAAATGTGATACCTTCCAACTCACAACAGGAGAATTTTCTTTCCATCTCACAGTAAAAATACAAGCTGAAAAGATTTGCTGAAAAATGTTTAACCAAATAAAAGCATCTTTGGAAGGCCACATTTCAAATGAAAGATGAAGGAAAAGTTGTATGAACTGTAAATGTATTTATTTCTCCCTTTGAAAAAGGATTTACAGTTTTATTACTCTCTTGGATTATTCTGACACAATAACAGTAAATAAAATCTGTCCAATAAGAGCTTTCAGCCACATTAACTGCTATTTTGGATTAGTTCATAAATACCTTTGAGAGCCATCTGATCTACACAGGAAAAGATACTTGCAGGTAACAGTAATTTTTGTGATGTGATATCCATAAGCATAGTTTCACTGGGAATGTGCCATGTACCTGAAGCATTGCAGCTCATAGACTTTTCTGCCTTATCTTTATCCACATAGTACACTTCATAACCACCTCTTCATGCATAATGCTAAACATGTAAAGAGGACTGCATACTTCTTGCTACTCAGTTGCTTCAGGCAGGGGTGGGCAACATTCAGAAAATTTATATTTAACTGCCCCTGGCTGCCTGTCATGTGGCCCTCGATGGCTTGCCAAAACTCAGTAAGCCACCCTCCGCCTGAAATAATTGCCTGCCCCTGCTTCAGAGGGATATGGACTATAAATAAAATACCCCTCAGAAGAAAAATTATTCTACCAGCAGATGGAGTTCTCTCTCCTTTGAGGGCTTGTTCACACATGCACTCTCACTGTAGGCAACTCCAAGCACACTGCCTAGGATTTAGAAATCCACTTCCTGGTAAGCAGCAGCCGCAGCATTAGCCTCAAAGACTTCCACAACAGTAAAGGTGTGTACAGTGCTGCATGCAGCTGCCCTGCAGAAGATGCCCAATTCTGGTGGAATGAATTCTGACAACTAAAAGTGGGTCCATCCTAGTACTCTCATAGCTCATTCGAACCCTTAATCTGATCAGATTCTAAGCCAAGGCATGTGTGGAGGGGGAGAAAGCACCTTTGGTTATCTTACTTAAAAAGGCAAACAGCTGAAGAGGCTTCCTGAAAGGCTTATCCTATACCAGTACAGGGACAAGGCTCTCCATGTCAAGTGCTTATAGTGCCTCAAACTCTAGAGGAGGAAGGCTCGAGGAAAATACATCAGCAGCTTGATTTGTTGGCTCAATTAAACCTTAATGGCAAACTTAGGTAAGAAATTTTGGACAAGTCACAGCTCTGTAACAATTAATGTTGCCACCTCTATCCTGCCACCAAACTTCAGGAGCCACTGGGGAGCCTCATGGGTTGGGTGACATGATCTCATGAGCCAGATCACACCACACCAACATGTGGGGTCAATCTGCAGCCAGATCCAGCATGCAAGTCTAAACCAGCGTGCTGGATTGCACCAGTGGACCTACCCCACATGCCACCCCACAATAGATAAGGCTTGCATACCAGCCCCATGCCACTTACCTGGCCCATGGGTCTGGACAGGTTGAGCACCACTGACATAAAAGATAGTTATTGATTTCCCACTCATGGAGCAAGGGTGCATGCACACTAAGTCTGTCCATTGATATTCTGGAGCCCTGGAAGATGCACCATTAAAAGGTGCATCTTAGGGCTGACAACTTTTCCTCACACGTCCCTTTTTGGCTGGTATCAAACTGACTATACTGTCCATCATAGCTTGCATGCAAGGTAAGAATACCTGTCATGCTCTCCATACTGCTCCCAAATCCAGAGCATTCAGATTAAAACTTTGCCTCTGACAGGCAAAAGAACTCTTTTCCCTGAAGGCAACTGACACATTCTTGCCACAGTGGTTACTGACTACTTAGAGGGGAGGAACAGGGCTTCCTTGCATATATTGGATAGGAAGGATCTGATCAGCAGATAATTCACCTTCATAGCCAGGGAATATCTTCCTAAGAAACGTACTGACCATAACCATGACTGCATGTCTAGTATACAGGGTCACAAAGATATGAGAGACCATGTGGCCTAGAACAGACACAGTAATCCTCACCAGTGTCGTTCAGTGAAGCTGCAATGTGGGTAGGGTAAAGCCTAGAACAGGCCCAACAGCAGATGAACTCTGGCCAGAAGGGAGCCCAGGGTAACTCCTAGGAACTCCAGTCCCTGAACAGGCAACAGGGTTGGTTGCTATATGGTCTCTACGAGACTCAGTGCTTGAAGCAAACGCCTAGACCTATTTTGTTGTAAACTGCTTGGATATGAGGCACATTGCAATTTATGGTACGATTAACACGCAAGCTGTGCCATAAATGCAATGCCTGCCATGGGTCTAAAATGCAGTTGCTGAACAGTCCCAGACACTGGAGTCATAGGCATATGAGAATAAATGACATTTTCAGACCTCATCGTCTGTGAAAATATGAACCAAATAAACCTTAAAAGACATCTAATAAAAAGAACCTAACTGTTTAAAGTCTTATGATTTTAAGTCATGATTTCTGTGGTCCACTGAATGTTTGGGGTTGCCAATATTGCAATCTCTTAACAGTTCTAAATACTTTTATTTTACATTGTGTTTAATCCAAATCAGTCAATGTTAAATTAAGATGCGAGACATACAAAATTAACAGTTACAGAATATTTATCCACATTTTAGGACGTCAGTCCCAGAGATATTTCAATTTTAAGACTGTAAGCTGAAATGCCTAGAGGCTAGTCATATGCATAAACTAAACCTAATTGAACCAACTACAGAATTTATCTTAAAGGGTTTTTGTGTTTGAAATACTGAGAGGCTCCAGGAGCGTTTAAATCTGGCTATATTTAATGTTTTGATTTGTGAAGAGAATGTAATGATTTATTTAAATTAGGCAGTAATTTTATCCATGCTTGAAATAAATTGAAGCTATTGTGTGTTGCAATACTAGAAAGAAGACATGAAATTTGCATGCAATCTATATCTTGAAGCATAAATATTTTCTCTATCTTACCAGTTTTATACTTTGACCAGTGTAAGGCATGGTTTTTTCAAGCACAAAACCTATAGCAGTTGAGAAAGAAATTCTGATGTTTTATCATATGGAACAGGATTTGCTAAAATCTAAATCTGAACTAATAATACTTTGCATTTTACAGTCCTCTATAAAAATACCATCTATTAAGAATATACTGTACTAAAATTCCGGCTATCCTCATCTCTAAATTCTTATCTCACTTTCCTATGTATCACTAGCTAAAAGTAACAAATTTTGGAAGAAATTCACTTTTATTTATATAGAAATTTTAATGCGACTACATCATTCCTAATAGTGATAGATGTATGTATACAAGTTGTCCCAAAGTTGTCTCTAAGTTTACACAGATATTTTCTGTTTAAAAATAATGTTCAAAAGTTCACACTTTACAGGGCTGCCCATTTCGGCTCATCACAGTCAGACTTTTTGATACCCAAAGTATAAGAATTAAGGAAAAAGGCTAGTGCCCACACAGGATTCCTTCTTACGTTATGCTATCATCATAATAGCCAAGCACCTCTTGAAGGGAAGAAAGCAAGACTGTAATGTCACCCATTTCTGCAAGCTAGCCATCTGAAAGGTGTGTTTGAAAGGTTCTGAACATGAAGTTGGAGGCTGCCTGTCATGATATCCATGCTCTCTTTAAAATCCTTTTATCATGTATGGGTATGAAATTTTAGAAACCCCGAAACATGCAAATTGTTCAAGATATTTTTTCCACTTAAAGAATTATCCAGGGTAGAGTCACATGCACTTTACTAATTTACAAGGATAAATCTGTAGATGAGTCAAAACTTTTATATATAGTACATTTTCTACTACAGCATTTGTAGGTTTGCTTGGCTTTTTTTTTAAATCTGTGTGTCCTATTTAGTGGTTTCTTTTATTTCCACCATTACAGTGCACAGTACACACAAGCATATGGCCCATATTTTTCTTACCTGCCACTCTACAGCAAAGCAATAGGCTGCATCATGGGAGCCAATGCTTAAACTGTAAAGTGCAGTTTCTCCTCATTTAACATCTGGTAGCAGCAAAGGAAAAAACCAAGGTTTTACAGCAATAAACCCCTAGAATACATACCTGTTAATGAGTATACCCTCATGTTCACAATCCTTTTCAGTCCATTTTTTTTAATTTAAAGGCTTCAACTTTTGAATGTTTTTTTTTGGTTTTGAAGGTTGGTTATTTTTAATATCATGGTCAATTTTTCTTTTATAGCAAGGACTTCTTGCAGTACTGGCCTTAATAGTTTATGCAGAAAATTTTTCATACTCTAAACATCACTTAAGTGATGGAAATAAACCAGTTTAATAGGTCTCATGTAAGCATAAATAAAGTCCCTATCAGCCTGATTTTTCTATGAGTCTACCAAAAACTAAAGAGGAAAAACTTTGTTAGTAGATGCACAGGATAAGGAGATAGGTTTCTAATCTGTAACCTATCCTGTTCTTACTGAAGAACTGACACCCCTAAATCAACCCTACTGGGCTGCACCAGGCAGTAGCAGAGAAGGGAAAAGTTCAAGTTGCTGTTTTCTTCCCACTTGGACAATAATTTTAAATAGTATCTGGAAAATAGCTTCTAGAATACCTAGATTCAAGGTCATGGGAACAGAAATACTTATGCATTTTTACAGGACTTACCATAACATGAGCCTGACCATGGCTCTTACGACAATTCCTAAATATGGTAAAGACAATAGTATACCGCTGCATTGACCATGTATGTTTTGCAACTTAATTAAAAAGTGTCAGGAAAAAAAAGTTTCAGACCCAGCTAAAGGCCTAGGTTTGAAGCCCTTACTCACATCATTAAGTTCTTATCCAGAGAGTCCAACTTATTTCAAATAGGATTTCTCATCAATAAGTGCTCATCAAACTAAAAGGTGGTTCATTTAAATAATAAAAAGTTCAATTTGATGCTCAAGAGGCAACGAAGAAATGGTGGGAGGGTGAATTTTACCATATGTGTTCCTTGTCCTCAGTCACTTACGGCCCTAATCCAGCTCTCAAATTTGTGTTCATGATTATACAGGGACATTTTCTATTCTGTAGCACACTTTTCAGTAAGAATTCTATAATTGCTTGTAAAGACAAGACGGAATTATTTCTTTCTGTGAAAAAGTAGTTAAGGGCCAAAAGATGAAGGGATGTTATCCCTAACAGATGTATGCAATTTTTATAGAAAATAATACAACCTGCTCAAGAATACTTCTCTCCCAGTGAAAAACCCATTGCTCCCTAAACAACCCAGCTGAAGCAACTAGATGAAACCACCAAAGTGAAGGTGAATGAATTTACCCTCTTTTTACCACCCCTTCAAGTAAAATGATCTTGTTCATTATGAACTGTAGGCAGTTTGCCTCTAAAAAGCTTGGCCACCTATTTAAGTTTATATTCTGATGGGCACTTTAAGAAGTTTGGCTTGGATCCCTTGGAAAGGGAAGAATTATGCACACGAGTATGGATGACCTGGGAACTTTGCTATCTTAAAGTCACACTGATTAAGGCAAATCCAATGTCCCATTATTGCAGGGTTTGTGTATTAGTATTTTTTATAAACCAACCCCCTCAACCCCTGCTAATCCAAAGCTGAATAACTACTTTAAGACTGTTTTTAAGATCATACTTTCTTAAGCATTTAGAATAATTCTTCTTTTTCATACTACACCCACTTTTTTTTTTTTTTTTGCTTACCTAGGGCTAATTCTTCTATCTATATTAATTAAAATTCCAGTGAGGATTATAAAAACCAGTAAATTAAAATTGTGAATTTCTCTCTCATTGTGAAAATTAAAAGGAAGTATTTTATGGATTTAAAAACTTAACATTTCATTCATGATGCAAGGGTATTACATAAGGCAGGTTTCCATCCTATACTAATCACTAGTTTGCTACTGTCAGAGGATACACAAAGCAGACTGCATTGTGAAAAATGAAAAACAAAAGTTCCAGATGCTAACAAGTTTCACTTTGCTGCTGGGCACGAACACTCCTTGGAAGTCATAAAAGAAATAGGAAAACTTCTAAAAACAATACAGGCTGCTTACTACAGAAAGTTGCCAAAAAATCTCTTTAAATTCCATTAACCCACTCCAATTTCCAACATCTTTACAATTTCTGCACAGAAATCTCAGACAAGAGAGTTGTTTAATACACAAGAAGGTCAAAGATAATTTAAATTTCTGGTAACTTGTTTTATATGATCATTCCTGCCTCCCCACAAACTTTTTTTTATTTTTAGATATTGCATCTTCATGTTAGTTGCTAGTTATTCAGGTCAGTACATTATTTTACAAAGTAAGATGTGACATTAACACTCAAGCATGCATGCATAGAGAGTAAAACCTTACCTGTCTTCATCTTTGTTGGAGCCAGATAAATGTCTGTTGCAATCTTCAAACTCATCCCAGAAAGTGCTATCATCTAATACATTTTTTCTTTCTTGAACAGTTACATTTTTTATTAGATCACTTTTTGTTTTCTTTTGAGCACCTTCATAGTCCTTTGGGTCAAAGAATATACTGGAATTCATTTTTTCTTTGCCATTTTGCAAGGCACAATCTCCACTGCCTGGCTGGACTTCAACAATCTCACTCCGCCTTCTAGTACTACTTTTCTCTTCATCATCACTAGTAACTAGCAGCTTCTTTCTATCCAACTGGTGAGTAGCATTCTGTTTTCTAACTTTAGGCCTCACAACCAGCTCAGGTGAATTTCCTTGTTCAGTCTTGCCATCATTGGCATTTGATTCATTACAAGTTTCTATAGGGGTTCCGATTACAACATCTGCTACATTTTTTCTTTGTTGCGTTTCAAAACTAGCACTACTTAAGTTATTTTTTAGGGTAGCTTCATCTGCAGATGACTTTTCAAGTGTCCTATTGTTTTGATGGGCAAGGTCTGAATCTATGCTAGAACACCTCATAAGAGGCACTGATTCTAGTTCTACCAAACCTTCTCTAGATGTATTCTGGTTAAAGGTAGACAATCGTGACTGCAGACCATCCAAGGACTCTACCCCTTTCTCTAACTCAGAAATCATGTTATCAAGACTTTCTTGAAGTGTTTCTGCTTCCTTTTTTGTCAAAGAAACACCAACTTGATCATCATCATTGTCTTCTCCATCACTACTATCTGGCTCATAAGAGTCAATATTTACAAAAGCAATTCCATTTTGACCGTTCAGATCATTACTCTCTCCAGAAATAGAATCTGAACAATCTTCTGACTTTTCATCAGGATTTACACTGCTCTCTGAGGTTTGGTCATCTTCCACATTGTAACAAACTGGAGAAAATGGCAAGTCATTTGTTGCAATAGTTTGGCTCAATATAGTTCGACAAACAGGAACTTCAGATCCAATGCTTTCTATCAAAGGTTCATCTGATAAAGCAGAACAAACTGGAACCAACGGACTGGAACCTTCATAAAAATTGCAAAGAAGAATATATTGAAGTGACTGAATCTGCATTTACATATTCTTTTTAACAATGCTCATGAACAAGCTGGCAATTGACTGGAGTAACAGTGCAACTAGATGATGACACAGTTATCACAGGCATTCATTATCAGCTAATACATTAATAGTTCCACCTTTTAAAACTGAGCCCGAAGATGGCAACGAGATTTTTTTCCCCAACAAATATTATATTAGACTACTCGTATACTAACTGGATAAACAGCACTTATTCGCATGGTTTAGAAAAGACTACATTATGGCATTTTATAACAGAATAGCTTGTACCTGCAATATACAATGCAACTCTTGACTTATAAAGGAAAAATTAATAAGGAAAACAAATGCAGAAGCTCCACTTGGCAATAGCGAGTCCCACCCAATTAGGTTTGATGGACTCTTCTGAAAGTAACATGACAATGAATATGAAAACAATTTTCAGACTCTGAAAACTGCTGGCAAATTTTTAAATAAAGAAAATTATTATATAGGATTAGCTTTGAAGTTAAAGCTGGCTATAAAACTTCAAAAGCGCGCACATTTCTGTATGACCTTGATAAATGCACATGCAAACTGGAGTTTGAACTTGCACAGACAGTCCTCAACTTGCACAGACAGCCTTTGATTCATGCACTTAAATTTAACTGCTGTTAAAGGCATAGAAAGCTTTATGTATATGAGATACAATGGTTTCAAATAAAGAATGAAATAAGCATGGGTGAACAGATATGTATCAGAGAATATATGTGCTTAAAGAAGAGCTAGTAGTGAGAAGTCCTGCACAATAGGGACAGATGCAGGGGGAAAGAGAAATATTTGGCTAAATGAATGTTAATGTTCAAAGCAAATAATTCAAATATATTTGTAGTGAGGAAACTGCTAAAGAAACATTTGACTTGTGCAAATTTTGTACTTGTACTTCCTTGTATTAGAAGTGGCCACTACCTATGATGGTTCTCAGTCTTTTTAGCTTCAAAGCACCCCTCCATAACTTCTCTGAATCTAGCATCACCGCAATGTAGAATCACTGCTGAACTGCCCCAGCTTACCTCAGTGGTTCTCAGCTGGGGCCCTGCTGCCACCACTGTCAAATGAAAACTTCCCTGTGCACCTCATGTGGAACCAAATCAAAGAGCAACTGCAGCAGGAGTCCAGCTAGACTCTGCACAACATGAGTAGGACAGTTTTACTTGGCTGCAGCACCCAGGCCACAGAACCCCTAAAAAAGGGTCTCATGCCATATTGGGGTGCCATAGCACATAGCACATGGGTGACACCACATGGTAGCTCAATATTTGGATTTAAAATGAATGTATTAGGCTTATCTGAACAATTACTGCATGCCAGAAATAAGTTAAGTGATAACACTCATTTCTGAAACAGAAGGCTGTGGACTGATATTTCCCACATGAGGATTATGTATGCTACCACTGGAGTACTAGGCATTCACTGTAATGTTAGAGGAGGCTCTTTACCTAACATTAAACTGAAGTCCTTTCAATCCATGTTGTGGCTGTTCAGACAGACAAGGATACCACGGAAGTAGCAGGGAATGCCTTCCAATGTTTTGGTCAGGTTTTTCCTCAATATATAATGGGAATTAATTTACAAATATTCAAGCTAGGGCATCTGGGAAAAAAATATACCAAATACACAAATATTTGATGAATGAGAGAAAACTGGAAAATAGTCATGGCAAAAAAGATAGAGAGATAATATGACACAACATTATTAGATATAAGTTGGCAAGGAAACAATATTAAGAAGAAAAAATATTCAATAGATTTCACGGCTGTATAAGCAGAGGAATAAGCATGGACGAAGATGGTATATATTCCCCAATTATATATTTCTTGTAAAAACCTGAACAGGGAATTACGTAGAATTGTACTATAAAAAAAAGAGAGACAAAACTAGAGGTATTTGAGAGGATAAAATGAAAAAAAAACAAAGAGAGTCAGGGTCTAGCCCTCACTTGAGGCATACACTAGCTAACGATGCAAATGAGGTAAATATTTGAATATAACTGAGCACTAACTTTTGCAAGATGTAAACAAAGAGAAATAATGGAATAGCTCAGCATTATAAAAACCTTGAAGAATAACAGAAGGAAATTTAGTGTCAACTGACAGCTAGGGAGAGCATAAAGAAAGGCTTCCAAAAAGTGAAAACTTTTAGCTGGTCAAATAATTTCCCAAGGGAAGAAACAACATACGAGATGGAATTTAAAAATCTAGACTGTTAAAAAAACCCACTAGCAGATGCATAACAGGTACCAATCTTGCACTTGCAAGGAAATAAACTATATGCATCATCTAATAGGTCATTTTGAATTTCTACATTGACTTATTTTAACTGCACTCTAACTTTGTAAACAACTAATGAAATTGAAAAAAAAAACACCTAGGAAAACTGAGTAATCATGCTGCTATGGAATTATTAAAACTGAAATACAGATGGAATTTCAATCTTTCAATATTCACATGTGGTTAAATTCATTCCCGATATAACTCCACCAAGGTAGATGGAATTGCACCACAGAAAAATGTGTTGTTCAGTGGTATGTAAAATATTTTGTCATCTGGTTACATTATGAGAAAACATATAAACACAAGGTATTTTCTTTCCAAGTGGAAATTATGCAAGAGTTTGCAGCTGGTAAGCTATGGCAAGATATTTGTCATAATATATTTAAGATTCAAATGATAATATTTAGCTAGATTTTATAAACTACTTTAGTGTAGTCCAACTTTATTCTATGACGTGAATTTAAACATTTTAAAAGACAAACTAGTTTTAATTAAACTAGTTTTAATTAAATTGCTGTGAAAGACGGGAAATATGGTTGCGTTCATATAATTTAACATATTTTGTATATTCCCACCTCCCTCTTCTCCCACAGAAAACATCTCAGTTTGGAATTACATGGCACGCACATAAAGACTCCTGTTTCGGAACATCATCTAATTCTAATCCTTCACATTCTTCATTGTGCTGGTTCACATTTCTGTCTTGATTGGTCAAAGATGGTCTAAAACTGACATAAGCATGTCTTCTTCCATATCTTCTGCCTGTAATAGTCTGATATCCTCCTGCTGGTTTGGGCCAAGCAGGTTTACCAGCCTCTTGACCCATTGCTGTAAGAAAAAACAAACAAACAAACCAGAAACTAGAATTAGATTAAATAGAAGTGAAGGGAAAACAAGTCCTTGCAAGTTTCTATTTTTTCACCATTTTTATAAGCCAGAACTGTTTTTTTCATAGAATTGGTTTCCCCTAAATTTCCCATTTTTCCTCATTAAGGCCTCATCTTCCATAGATAAAGAACCTAGGCCTGCAAAGAATTAGCTCTACTGTAATTTATAGAGCAGTCCAGTTGAAAACAGGAATATGACACACAAATTTGCTGTCTTCCTGATCCCTATCATTCCTCATATCTTTCATGTCTCTGAATGAGGAGGCCATGAATCATTATTGTAAGCCTCTAAAAAATCAGACTTCAGTTATTTGACAAAATTGTCCAAAGCACTATTAAATTAAGCCCCATTTTTTCACAACAGTCTAAGCATATTAGACTCTTCCAGATCTGCATACTTTCATGTACTGCACACTGAGTTCAAAAGTTACAGTAGCCCACCAGCCACAAGGAAAGAAAAGATACTGCCAATAAACACAATGACAATTTTGTCTTAAATACACACTAAGAAAAAGAATGCAAGGACACCTGCACTTCGCATGTGGCATTTCTTAAATAGCACTGAATTAAAAACAGTGGTTCTGTGAAACAGCTGTTTCAAAAAGAAAGCGATTTTTATCCGAACTGATAAGACAAAACACAGCAGAAAGTTACAAAACCCTGCATACTCCACTCTACCAGGTCAGAAGACTGGCATTTATCCATAAATCTCTATTAACATAGTCCCTGATTTCTACAATTTGTAGTCTCCCAATCCCCATAACTATACATGCAGAATTAAAAAATAGAGCAAGGAGAACATTTTACTCTTCTTCCTTGAAAGCCACGCATTGCTGCTAACAGATCTGATATATGGCACAAACTTCTGTTTGTGATTAATCTCATTAACGGTGGTATTCACCCTTTCCATCCCATAGGATGAAGGAGTGATGTGGGGTCAGTCTGCCGGCCTGATCCACTGTGAGGTTGGAACATACTGCACCCCGCTGAGCATGACCCTGAGTGGAAGCCCAACCCATGAACTAGAATTGGCTCTGATGCAAGCCTGCACGCTGGCTCAATCTGGCACATGGGGCCATGTCATCTGGACTATGGGACACCCCATGAGTCCAGAGATTTGGTGGCAGCACTAATTACCACAGCTCTGGGAGTAATTAATCCCAATACTGCTCCCCTGCCACCAAATTTCTGGACCCATGTTGAGCCCCACAGGTCGGATGGCTCTGAGAGCAGGAGGTTGAACACCACTGCTATACAAGTTAAACCTAAGAGCAATATCACAGGAGTTAACTGGCCCTAGTTCATCTTTCTCCTGGATGGAAAAAAGAGCATTAGTCAAACCACATCTCCTAGAACAAACATTCCAGGTCATAAGGGATAGTGATGGATTCTTTACATTAGGTAACTTCATTAAGTGTAGCCATGCAAGATAATAACCCATGTGGGATCTTAACACTGTAATAAGACTTATACTAAATGAATTGTTCTGCTTTTACTAAGAGGGTACAGTAAAAGCTTTAAGACAACCTGAAACAGTATGTAAAGATCCTCATCTATTACATAGCAGGATTTCTAGTGCAAAATGAATTTCAGTTTCAAACAACCTAATAGAAAAATGCTCTCATGTCCAATACGAAGGGCATATATTAATAAATTAAAATTCACTTCAATTGTTAAACTGCTTTTCAGCATTCCAAATAAGTAATTTTTTATTCTTCAACTTGGAAGATCACCTTTTACACTCCTTGGATATACAATTAATTTTTTTTTTGCTCTTGAAAGCCACCGAAAAGGTGGATGGAGAATTAAGTTTGTGTCTTGGAGCCCATGATTTTAAGTAAAAGTTCTATTTTTCTTGGTTATTCCAGGAATTCTTTCTTCAAGAATCATGCAGGTCTCAGTAGAGTCAAGCAGGATTAAGTTGTTTGTTTAAGCTGATGGCAGGGTGTTTCTTTATGTGCACCTGTGCATTTTCTCTATGTAATGTCAATACCTACATTACATCAACTGCCAGGAATGGTGCAGCTGCACAGGTGGCTTTTACATTCTGGCATGAAAACCTGAAGTACTGCTCAAATGCATGCTAAATTTGCTGATGATGACATACCCACAGAAGGCTATCTTCTGTGTTAAGCTGGATGCTGCTAAAGGCTGTTTTTGGAATCACAAAAACTGTTCCCCTGACCCTAGAGCAGGGGGCACCCCAGAACTGTGGTTATTTGAAAGCATAATTTTGGCTGTAGAAGTCAGCTATTTTACTTAAAGTTCTGTGGAATCAAGCACCTATTTTCAGTACCAAAAGCCGATCTATAGAATTTCTTGCCTGGTAGATATTACAAAAGATGTGTGTAAGCCACACAATGGACTATTTTTCACTCAAATTTTAAGAACTGCATTATAGGCTGCTGGCAGATTTTATAATTAAGACAAGATTGACCTGTTAACTGTGCCATAAATAGTAATATTGCCCCATGTTCAAGGACTTAATGGTGGGACAAAAGGGGAAACAAGCCGCAAAAATATTTCACAAAACTTGTAACATTTTTGTGGCTGACTTCCAATGTGCCTTAATTTAAGTATGTGACAGAAAACAGAGCTGGCTTAATAGGTAATAATTCCTGCCTGTATATCACATCCAGCATCATATTGTTTAAGCAATATCTTTCATAGCTGTTCTGCTGATCAAATTAAAAGATTTTCTGCACTGAATTGTGCCAAATGATTTATATTAGTAGAGGATGGGAGTACTTCCACCTTTAACTGAACCGATGGCACAAGGGGAAAACATTCTATCCAAATACAGAACATCCCTAAAAAAATTAAGAGCCAGATACACAAAATAACCTATGTAGGATGTTTGTACCTAAACATTCACTTACATTTTGGTCAGAGCTCTCCACAAGCCAAAAGTTCTGCTTCTGTACAGAAAGATCCTCGGTCTCAACCAGGCTGAACAGATGGGACTTAAGGGTGAACAAAATTCCAACCAGGATCATCAAATCAGGAGTCCCTTTGACTCCCTCCCTGACAGGGTCTAACCCTGTCAACACACTTAACTTTTACATGGAACATCACTGGATATACAGTCATGGAACAGGTACCAGAACCCAGGACTTCTACCTGAGTCAGCATCCTTCTGACCACTGGACTGCAACTAATTGCTTCCTCCTTCTGGCCCAATGAATCTTAAAATGCTTTCTGCAAAGTGACACCGTTTCAAACAGCCCATTCTACTGAACAGGCTATAATACCATAACGTTGTATGCTTGAACGACTGAGTTTTGCTCAATCAAAAGGATTCAGAACCGATTTGGTTAATTTGACCTAGAATATGAAAAAATTTCCAAAAAAAAGATGAGAGATAACAGACCTGATTATCCACCCATCAGCCCTATTGTCTCTCTGCAAGTTTGTGTACACAGCCAAGCCCTTACCCTTCTCTAAAAGTCTAAAGTTTCAAGAAGTTAAACAAATAAAGGCTATCAAACAACAAGAATGCACTTTCTGTAGATTAAATTGAGGCTTCCTAACTAGTGATTTAAATCATGATTTCAATCGATTTGATTTAAATCAAATGCACCCAGATTCACACTCCCACGTCAATTAACTCACCTGTGTACTAGGAGAAGGAAAAAAAGAAGAAGAAAAGTTGGGTGTGAGAGAGTAAAGTATGTAGTGCACACTTCTGATGTGGTCCAAGTAATTAACAAACACTTGAACCAATAGTTGATCTAATAAGAGAGTAATCAGATTTACCCAAAGAACCTTGTCTGCCTATGTCTTTAGCTCAAGATGGCTACAACACATACCCTTGAACCAGTACAAGACACTAATCATAACCTAGATGCAGTTTTTCAATGGGAACACTGATTGCAGAAGCCTCTTTTACAGGTGCCAAGCTTTTTTTCTTTTGTTATCCTTAGGGGCTGCAAGCTCTTGAGGGACAGTGAAGCAGGACCATCCTACTTTAAAGTCTGGAAACTGCCTAGTACATAGAAGTGACTGTCAGAATAATAACATTGAAAAATACAGATTAGGGAGTAGTGACATTAAGAAGGCTGGTTATTCTTGCTCCAAGAAACAAGCGTGTAACAGATGATATCCTGATCACTGAATCCATCAACAAGTCCTGGTAACTCACTGGACCTGCCAAGATCTATTCATTTCTTTAATAAATACTGGCTATATTGAGTCAATGTTATACAGGCTGTACTACCTTTTTAGTTCATAAAGCTTAATTAGATGCCAAAGCAGTGAGAAGCTGTCCCATTTACTCATTTGCTAATGCAATTCTTTCAACATTGTAGAGCCTGGTTTGCAAGTGCTCAGCAGATTCCCACCCTGGCCCCCCAAAACAGTAGAGAGACAATAAAAAAAAAAAAAGCAAAATCTTGCATTAAGATAGCTCTCGAGAGACACGTTTTCAAAGATAGAAAGCATTTCCCACTGTAACAGTTATAGCCAGATTGTCAAAAGAGATTAGCACATTTGCCCCAATTATGGTAAATCTTGAAAACCCAACCTTCTGGTCCTAGCACTTTCTCCAATCCAGGGTTTTTGTTTTGTTGTGTTTTAATACATCAAGCAATAGTACTTACACGACTTCCACTGCAAGGCTTTTGTCTACCTTTTCTCTCATCTTAATATCACCACGTTAAGTCTAACCCACTTATTCCCTAGCTAGCATGTTTCTGAATAGGGCTGTAAATATGGTTTAAAAAAAAAATTCCTTTAACCTCCTCGAATTATATCAGTTAAATGATTAACTAATAACACAGCAGCTCAGACAACTGCTGCTGGGATCCACTCCTGCCTCCCGGAGCCCTCCGACTAGTGGGGAGGTAGGTAAGAGGCGAGCTCAGCCAGACAACACAGCCCGTGTGAAGCCCTCTGCTGGCAGGGAGAAGCAGCTAATTGCTTAACTGATGAGTCATTAGGCTG